ATAATGTTGGACTCGCTTCCCACCTCCCTGTGGTCAACAGACCCCACTGATGTTGGGTTGGTGTCCATCCCACCTGTGACCTTTCACCTAAAAGATCATGCTCCCCTGTGGGTTCCACAATACCCACACAAACCATATGCTGAAGAGGGGATAGCAGACACCATCAATGGCCTGTTGCAGGCAGGGGTGTTGGAGCCGTCCATGTCAGAATGGAACACCCCGATTTTACCTGTAGAAAAGAAAAATACTGGTAAATATCGAATGGTTCATGACCTGCATCGTATAAACGCCCTACTTAACACAGATTCACTTCCCGTCCCTAACCCATATGTGGCTCTGACAAACTTACCACCTTCACATGCATGGTTTTCCTGCATAGATTTGGCAAATGCATTCTTTTGTCTTCCACTTCATGAGTCTCTGAGGGACATTTTCTCTTTCACATTCAGAGGGCAGCAATTCAGATACACGCGTTTGCCACAAGGGTTCACCCTGTCACCTGGTTTGTTCAACCAATGCTTGCGTCAGCTCCTAGACACATGCCCCCTACCTGATGACTGTGTTTTAGTGCAGTATGTTGATGATTTGCTTCTGTCAGCGCCCTCTGCAGGCTCCTGTCTGCAAGCCACTCAAACATTACTAACTCATTTGGCCAAGCTTGGATTTAAGGTCAGCCGGTCCAAACTTCAGATAGCCAGGAAACAAGTGTCATTTCTAGGCAGGATGGTTTCACAAGTTGGTGTGTCATTGTCACCAGATCACAGAAACTCCATTCTCCATCACTCTAAACCTGAAACAGTCAAAGACATGTTATCATTCCTAGGCCTGACAGGCTACAGTAGGCACTTCATCCCTAACTATGTTGGTCTCACTGCCCCACTACGTGCTCTTATAGCGCCTTTTGGGATGCGTCAACTCACAGCTCACCTGGACTGGACTATTCCAGCAGAAGAAGCTTTCATAAAACTAAAACAACAACTCTCCACTGCTAGTGATTTAGCTACTGCAGACTACAACTCTACGTTTTTCCTTGATGTTTCTGGATCAGAAACTCATGTAAATGGAGTTCTGTTCCAGAAAAAAGGGGGAGGTCAGAGACAAGTCTTGATGTACATAAGTGTCATGCTAGATAACATGGAAAAAAGACACCCACCTTGCACACAACATGTAGCAGGCCTTGCTAAAATTTTACAAAAAACAGCACATATTGTAATGGGCTATCCTCTGAAAGTACTAACAACACACAGTGTAGTGGCTTACATTACATCACAAGCTTTCACCATGACCCCACTAAGACAAAGAAAAATCAGTAAGATCCTAGAGGCCCCACACATCACCTACACACATGAAGGGATAAACATGGCAGACCACATGGGTAATGGGGAGCCTCATTCGTGCGAACAAAGAACAGCAATAGAAGAAAAAGTCAGACCAGATTTAAGTGCAACCCCACTAGAAAATCCTGATAAGAACTGGTTCACAGATGGCTGTTGTTACAGAGATGACAATGATGGATTAAAAGCTGCATGGGCAGTAGTAGAGCAACTCCCTACAGGCGAGTGGTTCACTGCAGGAGCGGAAAAACTGAAAGGACAACAGTCAGCACAGAGAGCAGAAGTGTTAGCTATTATTGCCGCTCTCAAAATGAGCACAGGGAAGAGAGTAAATATTTACAGTGACTCAGCTTATGCTGTAGGAGCCGTGCATGTTGAATTGAAACAGTGGTTGAGAGCTGGCTTTGTGACTGCTGGGGTGAAACCCATAAGACATGAGTCTGAGATGAGGGAACTAGCAGAAGCTTTATTCCTTCCAGCAGAAGTGGCAGTGATAAAATGCAAAGGACATAGTCAGGGCTCTGACTTTGTATCTAAGGGAAATCAGGAGGCAGATAGAGCTGCCAAGATAACAGCTGAATATCTTCCTGTATATAACCTGGTGGTTGAAACAGCAACTGTTGAAAAAAGCATTGATCCTAGAATATCCATCACAAAAGAAACACTGAAAGACATGCAAGATCAGGCTTCAACACAGGAAAAAACTTTATGGTTGGCAAGAGGCGCCACTAACACAGATGTTTGGAGAAGTCCAGATGGTAGACCCATACTACCTCCTGGCATCAGGCAAACTGCAATGGAAGAAGCACATGGTGTTGGACATGTTGGTGTAGCACAGATGATGAGAAATTTGTCCCCCTGGTGGCATCCATACCTAACAGACATGGCCAGGTATTTGGTTAAAACTTGTACAGAGTGTACTCAGTTTGGCATTAAACCTACCCTGAAACCAATCCAAGGTCAATTTCCAATACCAACATGCCCTGGAAAAGAGATAATCATAGATTTCACGGACATGATTGAAAGGGTAAAAGGCTACAGGTATCTCCTAGTGTGTGTAGATGCCTACACTGGATGGCCGGAGGCTTGGCCTGCGAAAAAAGAAGACAGCAAAACAGTCATCAAATGTCTGATCAATCATTACATTCCCCAACACGGGTTCCCGGAAAAGATCAGATCGGACAATGGGACACATTTTAAGAACAAAGATCTACAAGAGGTTGAAACCATGCTGGGACTGAAACACAAGTTTGGTTCAGTGTATCATCCTCAGTCCCAGGGAAAGGTGGAAAGAATGAATCAAACGTTAAAGGTCAAATTGGCTAAAATCTGTGCACAGACCAAATTAACTTGGTTAGATGCTTTGCCCCTTGCTCTGATGTCCACACGGAGCTCAGTTAACAAAACCACAAGGTTTACTCCCTTTGAACTACAGACTGGACGGCCGTTTCCAGGACCTGCCACAAAACTACCTCTGACTGCTGACCTGACTGACTCCCTCGACTCAAGGTCATATTATAACCTGTTGCATAGTCTTGTCTCTCAGTTCTCGTTACAGGTTAAGGCTGATCGTACCACCACAGATGCCCCATCTCCACAACCTGGGACAGACTGGGTCCTGCTGAAGGTCACCAAAAGGAAGTGGACAGAACCGAGGTGGACCGGACCCTACAGGATCACAGAGAGGACGTCACACGCTGTCCGGCTGGACGGCAAAGGAGACTCCTGGTACCATTGGACCCAGTGTGCTGCTGCGGAGGAACCACACCGCACCCTGACCGAGGTCCAAGAGAACCTGTCACAGAGGGAGGAGCCTAACCTGGAAGAGAAGCAGCCGACATCTGCCTGACCAGAAAAGTACCCAAGGACCAGGACGAGAAGCAGCTGATTTCTGCCTGACCGAAAAAAAAAAAAAAAAACAAGGGACCTAAAAACCAGGAAGAGAAGTAGCTGACTACAGTAGCGTGCAAAGCTACCAATTCTGCGGGACGAGGTAGCGTGCCAAGCTACCACCACATCCTGCAGGACGAGAATCTTGATATCATCACCCCCTGCAGCTGCCTGGAGCCAGTGAAGGGACCTCAACAGGGGGAAGAAGTAACCACCCTATGAACATTCTACAAGGGTTCTATTTAACACCCTCATTTATTTTACAAGGGTTATATTTAACACCCTTCATTTATTTTATCTGGGTTCTATTTCACACCCTCATCTATTTTACAAGGGTAATATTTTACACCCTCTACTCATTTTATATTATTATTCATTTACCTGTTTAGTATTAGATATATGTTTGGGCTCATTGCATTTCTACAACCTCTATGTACATTCTGATCACTCATTTGTCCTGGCCAGAAGTAGATTCTGAGGGTAACATAATTCAACAAGAATCCTTTACAATAGTCTGGTATCCAAGTAAGCTGAACCGGTTGGCATACAGGGACAGCAGGTTGGGGTTGTGGAACGACCATTGCCATCTCTCCTCCACCGGCTGACCCAATTATCCAGATGCCCTTGTTACTAGCCAATCCTAACATCTATTTGGGAGGGGAACCCTCTGATGATAGTGATGACTCTCATGATGAAGAAGATGATAGAGTGTGAGAATGTTAAGTGATTTATGTAACAATCCCTTCACCTGTTCATTTCTATGAGTTTTTGATTGTGTTGTTTTTATTTTTTGACCATTGATGTCCTAGGCATGCCCACTCTGTGCCAAAAGGCGTTCGCCTCAAAATGAGGGGACATGGGGGAATTTTCCCTATTTGACGTACGATAATTAGGGTTTTTCGCCCTCATACGGGTGTGCATGCGATCCGTTCATGTTGTAACATGTTCTGTTAAAAATATGATCATGTTTTTTTGTATTAGTTTACTGCTGGAAATATGAGAAGCTGTAATCTGATGGATTGTTTGTATTTGTATTTTAAAACTTTTCTTATTGGATTCTTTTTGATGGAATTTGGTGTTATTGTTTTGATTTCTTATATCTTTATTGAACTCTTAAAAGAGTTCAAAAGGGGGATTGAAAATATATATCTCTCATATAAGCTCTTTCATATATTATTATAAGCTCTTTTATATGAACAAATATGTATCTCTCACTTATGCTCCTTATATATTATCATAAATACATTATTATATGCCTTTTCATGGAATCTTGTTATAATATCGAAAACCTCTCTGTGCCTTTTCTGCTCAAGCTGAACAGCTGCATAAGGGAGTGAAAGTGTTCCTTCCTTCATTTCCTCAATACAAGAACAACTGTCTTTGTTAGCAAAGGATGTTGCAGGATGTGTCCTGATCATCTCAAGGTTGCATGTCCTTGGGATGAATTGGTCTTTCATTAACAAGGCTATTAGCTGACGTGCGTCTGCAGGTGCAGATGGCAGAATTACGTGTGTGTATGGTAAACTACGTATGTAACATTCCTGTAATCTTCAATAAAAATCAGCCGTTTTCAGCAGAACGGCGAGAGTCTGTCCGAAGCAACTGGCAAGAGCAGATCGCGGGACCTGCTGTGTGTTGCAAAGGCTCTCCCCCTCTCGAGCGGTGAAACAGTGACTGGACTCATTTGTCTCCTCATTCTACCAACTCAAAAGGTGTTTAACTCCATCTTCTCCGTACCCGTGCTTGGTCTAACAGAAGAAAGACCAACAAGCTAAAATCTTTAACCCATTCCTATTTCCTCCTGCAGAAGCTCTTGAAGAACTACAGGTTAATTTTCTGCTCTTCTAAACTTTGAGCCTTTGTTTAACCCCTCGTGTTACTGTGTGTTACTACTTACTAAATTTAGATTGGCTGCTCGTATTATTTCCTCTGCCTGCAATCCTGTTCCTGCAGGTTTGCAGCATCTACTCTCTCACCCATTCAGTTTCTTCTCTCTGAAAATTTTACGTTTTCCTGATTCAAATTCTTTGTTTCCTAGTTTAAAAAAATCTAAACCCATGCCAAGCTCCCTACTTCACTTTTATATGCTGTTCTGATCTTCATTGGTGTTCTGGAAGAAGACGTCTCTAGTAGAAGTCGGGTTAGTCCCAGCTGGATCCTAGGCCAGATGTAGAAGGCGTTGGCTCTTCGGCCTCCCAGTCTTCTTCAGCCTCCCATTCTTCTTCAGCGCTCCCATGGGCAGGCCCGGGGTTCTCTGGAAGCTCGTCGTTATCATCATGAAGACTGGGAACAGTTGGGTTCCCGTCACTGGGTACCTGGGTAGTCACTGTTTTTTCTAAATTCAGTTCCCCCAGATCTTCAGACACAGCTGTGGGACTGTCTGACTCGTCCTCCACAGGTGGCTGCTCGTCTTCGACGTTTAAAGATGCTTTCTGCATTTCTTCCCTTAGTTCAATCATTTGTGTTTCATCATTATGAGGACATACTGCGTAGCCAGGGCCCCTGTATCGGGTACCAAGTAACAAGTGCCCTCTAACCCATTGCTGGGTACCAAGGTACTGGGTACCTAACAGGTATCCAGTTCCCAAGACATGGTCAGCCAGTGTTTGCGCCTCCTGATGAATCTGGGCTGAATCTTTTTCGTTCTCTATTGAGTCCATCTTCTGTTCTTCTAAACTCTGATTCCCAGCTTCTAAATACTGGAACTTATCTAGGAAGCATTCATAATTTTCTTTATGCTCCTCTTCTGAATTTGTCTTTGTTTTTTCTAAACTCAGTTCCCTGACATCATCATCATCATGAGGACTGTGAAGAGTTGGGTTCCCCTCACTGGGTACCTGGGTAGTCACAGTTTTTTCTAAATTCAGTTCCCCCAGATCTTCAGACGCAGCTGTGGGACTGTCTGACTTGTCCTCCATAGGTGGCTGCTCGTCTTCGACACTTAAAGATGCTGCTTCCAGCTCCTGCCCAATCTGATCTAAATGCCCCTCTTCCTCTTGAAGAAGCTGGAAACATTGTCCAATATGTCTGTGAATTTCGTCCATTCTCGCTTCCAAAGAATTAATTTCCTCTTGAGTCAAAAGTTCAACCCCTTCTTCCAGAGCTCGTTGTTTCTCCTTTAAAAGGTGAGTTTCTGCTTCCCTTTTTTCCATAAACTCTAGTTTCTCTTCCTCCAGGTTTTGTGGGAGCGTTACTAAACAGTCTCTCTCTTCCTGAAGAACCCGTTGAATGTCTTGAATGACCTGCTCTGAGTTTATGTTTCTCTCTTCAGAGTCTGTCATCTGTTTGATGAGAGTTTGTTGCCTAATTTGGAATATTTCCAGCTCTTTTGCCTGTATTTCCTTATTCCCCTCTTCCGATCTGAACTTTGTTAACTGGAAATTTGTCTTTTCTTCCTCCAGAGTTTCTCTCTGAAGTCTCAGACCCTCCAGCCCTTCGTCTAGAGCAGTTTCCTTCTCTTTTAAGATCTTACCTGCTGCAGCAATTTCTTCCCTAAAGTCCGTCACTTGTGTTTCCAGACTTTGTTTTCCCAAATGCAAATTTTCTAATTCTTCCTGGAGGAATTTGTAAATCCTCCCTTGTTCCTTCTCTGATTCTGACTTAGTTATCAGGAAACGTTGTTTCTCTTCCTCCAGGTTTTGTCTGAGCGTTACTAAACAGTCTCTCTCTTCCTGAAGAACCCGTCGAATGTCTTGAATGATCTGCTCTGAATTTACATCTCTCTGTTCAGACTCCATCATCTGTTTGTCTAGACTCTGTTGCCCAACTCGTAATTTTTTCAGCTCTTGTTGGAGGTAAGCCTGTATTTCCTTATTCTCCTCTTCCGATCTGAACTTTGTTAACTGGAAATTTGTCTTTTCTTCCTCCAGAGTTTCTCTCTGAAGTCTCAGACCCTCCAGCCCTTCTTCTAGAACAGTTTCCTTCTCTTTTAAGATCTTACCTGCTGCAGCAATTTCTTCCCTAAAGTCCATCACTTGTGTTTCCAGACTTTGTTTTCCCAAATGCAAATTGTCTAATTCTTCCTCAAGGATTTTGTAAATCCTCCCTTGTTCCTTCTCTGATTCTGACTTGGTCATCAGAAAACGTTGTTTTTCTTCCTCCAGACTTCTCTTCTCAAGACTCAGAAATTCCAGCTTCTCCTTCAAATCCTGTAAACTTTCGTTGAACTCTTTCTGGAACCCTTCTGCTGTTTTCATTACCTCCAATTTGTCCTCCTGCAGATTTTCTCTCAGAAGTTGAACATCTAGTTTGTCTTTGAGCAGAATCTGTCTGATCTGCTCCGATTCAGTCTGAAACTCAACGATCTGGTTCTGTAGAGTAATTTTCCCAGCGTTTAAACGCTCCTTCTCATCGTGGAGAGTCTGCTTTTCTGCAGTTAACTCCCTTTCTGTTTGTTCCTTAGATTCGATAAACTCTAATTTCTGTCTTTCCAGATCTCTTTTCAAGTTATTAATTTCTTCTGTTGATCTCTCTTTGCTTACCTGTAAAGCTTTCCATAAATCTCCGACTTTCTCTTGTGTCCTATTCAAGTTTTTGGCCATCTCACAATTTGCAATTTGAGTTTCTTTAATCTTATTCCACTCATCTTGAATTTCTTGTCTTTGTTTCTGCAGTTCCCTGTTTTCCAGCTCAATCTTTACTCTGTGTTCGTCAAGTAACTGAGTTGAAACTAAATTATCTCTTCCTTTCTGAGAGTTCGTCTTTAGTTCATCAACATGATTCGTTAGTTTCTTTTGTTGATCCTCAAAGTGGCGTTCTCTTTTCTCCAGATCCTGCGTTTTTGTTTCCAATTTCTGTCTTTCCTCTTGGAGACTTTCCCTGATGCGAGCTATGTTTTTCTCAAACGCATCCACCCTTTGTTCAAAGTCGCGTTCCTGGTTACCAAAAACTAGTTTTTTGACTTCCAGATCTCGTAATTCTCTTTGTAAAAGCTCATTCCTTTGGTCTAATTCAGCTTTATATATGTCTGAAAATACCTCCATGTTTCCCTCGTGTGGTCCATCAGTAGCCATTGTAGGTCTGTTCAGGTCTAAAACCAGGCTGCAAATGAAGCTGTCTGTGTGCCTGCTTTATGTTTGCCCTTTATATAGGACTGCACTCTCCTTTATGACATCATCAAAGGAAGCTGATGCTGGCAGATTCCGTTCTCCTGACCATTATTATCATTATTTTTGTTTTCCCCCCCCAGAACTGCCCTGCTCTGGGTGGCTGCATGTTGGAGTAGCTCTGTTGACTATATGTAAGTTTAGCCTTTTCTTGGACACTTTTTCTTCTAGTTTCTCAAGAAAAACTGTATTTTTTGGACACTTTACTTTTCTTTTCTGGTGCTGTGAAGCGTGGAGGATTTTTACTTCTATTTTTTAGCTTTTTTCACTTTTTGAACATTTGTTATGATGCGTAACCATGGCAACAAGCTGGTTTAACATCGGGAGCAGCTGATTAACATGGGAAAGGCTGAAATAATACCTCAACTGAAGCCACAAATCCCAAATGAGCTAAAACGTAAAAAGCGTGGATGCAGAGCGGGAGCAAAACGGAGACAGAGAAAGAGGAAATTCAAACCATCTCTTCCATCGATCATAATGGGCAATGTGAGATCACTGGCCAACAAGATGGAGGAACTCCAAACCCTTTCAAGGACTCAGCCAGAGTTTCGGCAGTTTCAGAACCACTGGAGGAGATAATGCAAAGGAGGATTCTCCAGAGAATCAAGAAAATTATGGACAACCCTGAGCATTCTCTTCACAAGACTGTCCGACAACGGAAGAGTGTCTTCAGTCAGAGGCTTCTTCAGTTTCGCTGCAACACTGACCGCTACTGGAGATCCTTTCTGCCAGCAGCCATTGTAATATCCAATAACTCTTTGATGACTTGATTATTATTATTATTATTCTGAGCTACTACAGCAATCAATTTCCCTCTGGGATTAATAAAGTATTTTTTGAATTGAATTGATTTTTTTTTTCTTTGTTGTTATAGTTCTGATTACAATTAAACATGCCCCCTGGTGACCTGTTGATGTTGTGGTGTTGTGGTCCTTATGCCTGATGCTTTGTACCATCAACAGAACATTTATCTTATGAATGTTTGTGCATATTTAATACATCTGATTCCTGGTTGTGTTGTAGAAGATCCTCCAGGTCTGGGTCAGTTAGAGACTGGGACATTTACAAAATAACACTGATTATTATTTTAAAAAATATACAATATTTTAGTCATTTTCTTTGTTTTTGGTTGTCAGCTGAAAAACTCAATTATTTAAACATATTTTGGCCATAAAATGTTTGAACCATTGCTTTTGTTCTTTTGTGATGAAGTGGAGGAAACTAAGCTGCTTTTTTCCTTATACAAAATGGACCACACACACATTAATTAATGCTGCATTTACGACCCGACGGCGCCAAATGGCAGCCTCGCCTCTGTCAGACCGCCCCTGGGCGGCTGTGGCTACAAAGTAGCTTACCATCACTAGCAGTGTGTAAAAGCATCTTTTAGTGTCGTGAAAAGCACTATATAAGTTCAATGCATTATTATCATTATTATTATTATTATTATTATTATTATTATTGCAAATTTCAAATATTTTAGAAAAGTTATTTGCCAATAGACTGGACAAATACATTGAAAATCATAATCTGTTATCATATAGTCAATATGGGTTCAGAACAAATAGATCTACATCAATGGCATTAATGGAAATTGTTGAAGAAATCACTAGTTCTATAGACATTGTAAGAGGGAACATGCAGCTGGAGTATTTGTAGATTAAAAAAAAGCCTTTGATACAATTGATCATACAGTATTAATAAACTTCAAAAATATGGTATTAGGGGATAGTGTTGTCAAAAAAATCGATACCTAGATATAAATCGATACTAAAAGTGATATCTAAATTAGATATTCCATCCCTGTGGTATCAATATCATGGACTATTATACACAGCCTTCTTCAAGTACACCACCACACACGACAGCCAGACGCCATAAAGCAGCCTCCGCCTCCCAGACAAACAGAAGAAGACGCCGCATGGCTACATTGCAATTTCCCATGCGAGTTGTCTCCGATCCAAGTTTTGTCTGCCAAATAAATAAACAAAAACATAAACAGCGAATTTGGGAGGCGCTTCACAGCCCAACTTAATGAGCATACCAAGTCTGACACGTAGTTGTATATTCACGCTTATGTGCTTAAAGGAAACTCCCGTTTATTGCAACCCGGACTTAATTTCTAGCATGCAGTACGTTTGTTTACTCCCGCTGACAACTTTGGTGCTACTTGGATTCCCCGGGGTATTTAGATCCATCGGCGACTCACCATCAGTGTATATCCATATAACGGGTGCGGACGGGCACCCATGGTGCAGCCTCGAAATAAGACATTATCTGCACCAAAACATCTCAATGTCGAAAGGTTTTGTTAGGAATCATTAACATGATTCCCCTGTTCGTTTGGAGTGGGTCTGGGATTTCTAGGCGTGAACAGACTAGCCGCGGCTAATCTAACCGGCGCTTTTAATGACGTCACTGCCGTGCACCATTCTGTTTTTATTAAGATTACCGGTAGATGTACCTTTGTCCTACTGTGGAGAAATTAGTTTTCTCCCTTTATTGACAAACAGAGTTGTTCAAAAGTACAGAACAAAACATATGGCATTACATCTTATGACAAAAATGCACATTAAACAGAGTTTAAGCAGCAAAACATCACTCTGCAAATAGTGTATATCAGGGGCGGATTTAGGACTGAAGAAGACCTGGGGCTTAACACACACACACACACACACACACACGCACGCGCACACACACGCACACACGTGACACGCACTAGTCAACATCATACATGTCTTGTACCACATAATTTTTAATCTGAAGCTACATATTAAGCATTTTCAGGGCAGAGTATTGTTCCTGTTAGTGTTTAGTGTGAGATGATAGTAAATATTCCCTTTCTTTCTCCATCAACTTTACCTGATAAGCTAACTTTAGGCAAACCAGCAGCACAACAAATATTTTCAAATAAGACTCACAAACCTGAGTTAACACCAGTCTCATCAAAGCTGGGGTTCTGTTGCGGGACTTTTTGTCTAAAAAACGTCCTCATGTCCATCTTCACTCATGCGTTTCAGGCAGAGAGTGTAGAAGAAGCCAGCTGCTGAAGGACTTCTTCTTCAGTGGTGGAGGCTCAGGCAGGCTGTATACAAACTACTGCCAGCTGCTCCCTCTCTGTTGGACTTTGGTACTGCATGTTACTTCCGCGATTTAGATCCGGGGCTTTTAATGAAACATCCGGGGCTTCAGCCCAAGTAGCCGGGCCTAACGCCGCCCCTGGTGTATATACAGTGAGACAATTCATGATTTAAAGTGTTAACTTTCGCCAGTTTTTGTATGCACGTTTTAAAAAATGCTGATACTTGAAAGGTATAAGCACTTTATACACTTAATTCTTAACATTTAATTTTTGCAATATAAATTGAGGAATGTTATTTTTTGAATAAACTTGTTCAATAAATTGGTGTTTTTAAATAGTATCGAAATCGAGTATCGAGTCCCCCCCCCCCCCAAGTATCGAATCGAGTTTGAAATTTTAGTATCGTGACAACCCTATTAGGGGAGTTGTTCTCAGTTGGGTTAGAAGTTATTTAACCAATAGATATCAATTTGTTTAAATAATATTTATAAGTCAGAACTGCTTAGTATCAATTGTGGGGTGCCACAGGGTCGTTTTGGGTCCAAAGTTATTTATTTTATATATTAATGATTTGTGTGAGGTTTACAGAGCATTAAAATGTGTTTTATTTGCAGATTTTTTGCTTCAGAGAGAATTTGCAAGATCTTAGTAAGTTGGTCACTGTAAACCCCGATAAGTTCAGTCTACTTAAAAAAAACAAGGTAACCCGTTGCCTTAAATTTTTTAAGTAATTAAGAATTAGTTGAATTGATGCAGCTGAGTATGTTCAATGTACTTAAGGCCTTAATGGGATTAAATTAAAGATTTAAGTTGAATATACAAATAACAAAAGTTACATTAACTTAAGATAATTAGTTTAACCAATGCCCCACCATCCTTTTAGTTAACTCAACTTCTCAAGTACAATGTAAAACCCAATAAGTTCAGTCTACTTAAAAAAACCAAGGTAACCCGTTGCCTTAAATTTTTTAAGTAATGAAGAATTAGTTGAATTGATGCAGCTGAGTATGTTCAATGTACTTAAGGCCTTAATGGGATTAAATTTAAGATTTAAGTTGAATATACAAATAACAAAAGTTACATTAACTTAAGATAATTAGTTTAACCAATGCCCCACCATCCTTTTAGTTAACTCAACTTGTAAAGAAAGCCTTACTCAATTACTTATCAAACTACAATGTGTATTCTAACTCCCAAATTCCACTACCTCCGCTCCGCTCCGACACGAACCCCAGAGCAAAATCGGTCCCGTTGTAGTCAATCAGAGCAATTCCACTACTGCGGCCGTGCTCCGGCCGTGCGGCGCCGTGCGCCGCCCTCTGTTCCGGCGTCCGGCAAAAATAGAATCGATCCTATTTTCGCCGGACGCCGGAGCACCTCCGCAGTAAATGGACAGAAATCACAACGGCCCAACAGGAAAAGGAGCAAGCACAATTTCCGTATTTCACAATAAATCGATAAACAAAAGGCGTTTTTTGTTTCATATGCACAGATTTAACAACTTTTAACCACTATCAATGGCGGCTGAAGTTTAAATGCACAAAAGTAAGCCATAAATACAGTTTCCACTATCAAAGTAGACACACTTTGTTGATCCAAACATTGCTGATCTCTCAACACAAATGATAGGCAGATTAAACAGCTCATGCCGATGCTTCTCCCACACAACGGGTGTTTGGATCTAACTTCCGCGTTTATTGCTCGGACTGTATCGCAAGATCTCGAAAATCCCGCGCATGCTTGTTTGCTCTCCTCAGGTCTCCGCACCGGAGCGGAGACCAGTAAAAATTGAGTTCGGAAGCGAGCGGCTGCGAAAGGCGGGGGCGGACCGGAGCGGAGGTAGTGGAATTTGGGGGTTACTCAACAAACTTAACTTTTATAATGCATAAAAATCAAAATATAATATTCAATCCAAAGAGCCAAATAAATATATACAAAATATTTTATTAAACATTTAAATCTCAAATGACACATTTGTCCATGGAATGACAATAGAATAAAGAACTGAAGGGTAAAAAAAATTTCCAATTTTATTTATTTATTTATTTTTTACACAAAGAGTCAACACTCTCCCCTCTATGGTAGAGGATTAGGCACACTGAAGAAAAATAAAAAGTATTCTGACTTTAATCTCAGAATTCAGACTTTTTTTAATTCTGAGATGAAAGTTTAAAAAAGACAGAATTCTGAGAAAAAAGTCAGAATACTTTTTATTTTTATACAATGGCCCTAAACCTCTTCCGTACCCCTCCACCTCCTCTCAACCCCCCTTCCTCTTAACATTCATGAATAGATGAACAATTAGTGAACTCTAAATTAAAAAAAGGCATGTATGGGCGTGATAAAGTAAAACTATAAAAAAATAATAATTTTATTTTTTAACACAAAGCTCATACTCTCCCCTCTATGGAAGAGGATTAGGGACACCAAAGAAAAAGTAAAAAGTAATCTGACTTTAATCTCAGAATTCAGTTTTTTTTAATTCCGAGATGAAAGTAAAAAAAAAGTCAGAATTATGACTTTTTTCCTCCGTTAAAGTCAGAATTCTGAGAAAAAAAGTCAGAATACTTTTTATTTTTCTTCAATGGCCCTCTTCTGTACCCCTCCACCTCCTCTCAACCCCCTTCCTCTTAACATTCAGGAATGCGTGAACATGAACCAAAAGTTTCTCTAAATTTAATTTAAAAAAAGGCATGTCTGGGCGTGATAAATTAAAACTATAAAAATACACATCCAAAACCGCACTCTCCTCCTTTCTCTATACCTCACCCTTACACCCCCCTCCCGCCTCTAATGATTTTCCCCCTCATTATTTACTTTTTAGTTAGTGACATTTTAGTTTGTCCTGCACTTTTCTCCTTTTTAAATATGCTCCAATTAATGTTGTCAACAAAGTGACATAATGCAGATGAAAGTTGATATGTTTTCCTTAATTGCCAATTTTCAATGTACATAAAAAATATTACATTTTTATTTTTGCAAAAGGAGGTAGATCTGGATCTCACATTGCAAGCTGATTCCTGAGTGTTTGTTTTGCTGTTAGATCTGACTTACCCAAGTTCAGAAGTATCTGTTGAATAAAGTCAGATGTGTTTTTCATGTACTTTGGGTAGTTGAGATGCAGCGCATAAGTAAGTCCAAAGAGGATGTACATGGCCTGGGGCAGGTTCTCGGCATCCATCACAATCTTGCCCTCCAAGATGATTCCCACTGAGGATGTATGGTGGTGAAGGGACTGCATGTGTGCTGAAATATCCTGTTCACGGCAGAAGATCCCCACTGGAACATCACTCCAAAAACTGTCTTCACCGTCAGTGTCCTAAAAAAAGGAACTCCAGCCGGACATTGATCCTTGTTCTTTCAGACATGGGTGCACTCGCACCAGTGCTGAGGCAACAGCTTCAAATTCCGCATTTGTTGGGTAAGCTTTCGTGGCATATATGGTCTCGGCGAGCCTCTCAAGGATGTCATGTTTTAGCTCCTTTGATGGGTGGAGGTGTGTTCCATCTCTGAGATGCAGCTGGTTTGCTTGACGCAGTCTGTATTCTACATCTACAGAAAATTTTGGTATATACATATCAAAAAGCTCTGGCCACTGGCGTCGTTCCTGGGGTGAGTAGGGAAGGATGTCAGTGTCAGCCTGGCTTGTTGTGACACTTAGTTCTCCACTTGTGGGTGAACTCATCTGTATGTCAGGTACCGCCTCAAGAGTAAGCAAAGGAATGATTTTGACAGTAGGTCGTTCAGGTAGCTCTGACATCTCGGTTAAATTACAGAGTTCGTTGTCAAAGTTGGGATCTTTATACTGAAGGGTGAAGTTGTATTTTGTTTGAAGCACATCTTTAAGGGACCCAACCAAAAGATCAACTGTATCAGGCTTTGTTGTCAGTTCCACCTTCCTTATGTCCGCTTCAGTGATGATGACTCTCATAAGCATTCTCTGTTGCACAGCCATCTGTGGAGGAAGATGGAGAATGTTCAGCACAGAATAAAATGTTTGAGAGTGACCATTAGTTTCCCACCTATTCTGTATGCTGAAAGTGGGAAAACATCATTAAGCTCTGACAGTGAGACCATACAATGGGTTGGAGGCACATCAGTGTAGCAAACTTCATACGACCTAAGATGCTCATGGTACCATGCCGTCATTACTCTGCACACAAACATTATCTCTGCAAGAACTGCAACAATCTGCGTGATCTGTCTAAACTCAGGAAGACCGGAGCAAGATCCAACAGAGACTACCATACCTGCTTTGTATGTAATTCCATCTAGACAGACAGATGATGCTACAAGAATTGCTTCTGGCTTGTGGATTTTCTGACAGAGTACCCTTCGGACATTCTCGGGGAAAGATGATATCTGGACAGTAGTGACCTTCTCCATCTCCACTGGAGGTTTGAAAAATGAACTAGAGTCCAAATGATAGCTGACTGCTTTTTGGTGCTTCACCGCAAGTGTAAGAGCCACATTCCTGTAGTTCCTAGCATCACGAATAACCTTTTTGAAAAATTTGTGCTTGCCCTCAAAGCGCATAGTCCAGACACCACACAACGGACCAAATGCTTTAATAAGTTGGGGATAATGTTCAATGTAGTGGTGCTTTGGTTGTAATTTAAACTCTGGGAAAGTAGACCACAGTAGTTCTCTGTGTTCTGCTAACTTGGACTCCAAGAAGTAAAGTGTGTCTTCAGTAAACCTGGGGGCAACTACTAACTCCACAATATCTTTGACAAGCATGAGAACTCCCCATGCCATTTCCCCAGGAGGAACATACTGACCAACAAAAAATGGAAGAAGCTGAATTAGACACCAGTTCTCATGTGCATTTCCCCCAATAGTGCCTTTTGTCAAACAAGCTTTTGTAATAGGCTGTGGCTGGTCAGTTTTGTCAGTAAACATGTACCCAAATGATCCAATATGCTGATTTAGGGTTTCTAGGTCAAAATATCCCTTGGAAATCAAATCTGAAATGCATAATGATATCTTGACTGGGACTATGCCTTCCAAAAGATCATGCATGAGGTCAGGAGGATAACCTTTGATCACATGGAAGTGCTCCAGTTTTGCAGTCAAAGGGCACTCTTTTTTCACACCAAATGTCCGACCAAGCTCTCCATCTTCCAGAACTTTCTGCACATCTCTGTCATATCTGTCTTTGTCTCTGAGCTCAAAGGCACCAGAGCAGACCCCTTTTTCTTGAATGTCATTTTTACTTGCCATGCAGACTCTGCACAACTTATCAACAGTGAAGCTCTCATAAAATCCTGCCAATGCATGAGCACCTAAGTTGTCAGTTGCTACATACAAAACAGTTCCTTTCACACTTGCACCTAAGGCCTCTATGTAAACACCATCTTTTTCCAGTGCAGCTATATCACGTATAAGTTGGTCCAACACTTTAGCATAACCACATTCTTTTACTGTGGTTGTGTTGCATATAAGAGCAAGCTGGATACAGTTGAGTGATGATCTATGTTTCGCTGGTATATTGGCGATTACCCAGTACACCGCACACATTTTGTGCTTCTTCTTTGATGTACCTAATGGATTGGCCACTTCAAAGTCATCTATATACAGACCAATGGCAATTGTGAACTCATCACTTGTAAGAAGGGCATTTTCTCTAAAGTAAGAACCATCTATATATGTTTTGCATTCATTTGGAACATGTGTTTCCACAGTCATTGCTTTATCCAACACATCTGTCCTGCTTAGCAATTTCTGTAGCATTTGCTGTATGGGAACATATACAACCGATTTCTTATCTTTTTCAACAACATATTCCACTGGCATTACCAATGGAAATTGTTTAGATACATAGGATGCTCTCTTTTTTGTGGTTTCTAAGGAACCATGTTTGCCACAATATTTTGTCAATATGTTGGTGTCTGAGAAAGCACTGCACACCCGTTTCATTATGGACTCATCTATCACAGAATTATAGTCCTTAAGAATCATCTTCACCTTGTGATGTAGAAGGGGCACTGACAAATCCTGTATTTCACAAAGTTGTATGATAACTTCCTGCACAGAACGCTCAGGGATGTGGAGCATAGTCTGCATCTTTAAAAAAAAGTGCTGCCAAGTTATGCTCCAACTGATTTTCTAAACAAAGAAGATCTATCTCACATGTTTCCTCATTTATATTGTCTATATCATCTGTGTCATCAAATGGCATTTGCTCATCTGCAACATCACTTTCTTTGTTTACATCACATATGACATTAACTATTTCTTTCTTGAACATATTCCAGTTGTCATATCTATGTGCTTTGCTTTAATGTGCATTGAAAGTTGAATATACACTGCTTTCAAATCTACAGCCTGCATAAGGACATTGAACCTTTTGGTTGACTCTCAAGTGGCTGCTTCTGAGATGGGTGAAAAATTCTGCTTCGGAACAAGGCTCTTTGAATTCACACAACTGGCAGCAGAATTTTACAGCTTCATTTTGTCTTGGCTTTCCTTCATCAGTTTTACCATGAACACGAGATATGTGTGCTTTTAGGCTGTTAAAGGACTTAAATGTGCACAAACAGTCCTGGTGCAAACAAGGAACTGGCACTGTTCGTGTGTGACTTCCATGTTTTAGCCGGTGTTCTGGGAATTTCTCCTACCCGGTAAACCGTCCTACCCGTTGTTCCTGCGCTTGTGCGCGCATGCGCACAACACAAAAAGGGAAGCAAAGCGCATCCGGCTGTGATTTTATGCTACTCCGTTGTCATATTTCCAGGAAAATAGGTAAGTATTAAGTATTAGTACTTTTTATTGACATTGATACTTGATTTTTTAAGCCTTTGTGATTGTTTGTCAATATTAAAGTAAAGTCGCTATCTGCTTTCTGCACAAAACTGTCGAATTTGCAGCTTTGGTTAAGTCTGCTGTGAAGTTACTGGACATGTAGTATTTGGACAACACTTCTGAATCCGCAGCTTCGGTGTTTTAAGGCTGTTTCGGTAATGCCGCTATTTAATAAGTTAAATTATTTGCATTGTTAACTGCACATATTGAAGCTCAGAAGAAAATGTCTACTTACATTCATAGATATGGAGAAGAAGTGGGAAGAGATTTACACATTCATTTCTGCAGGCTCCTACCCTTCAGGATATGACAAGGCTCAGAGGCAAAACCTCAGAAGATATGCCTCACAATTCAAACAAAAGTGTCAGTAATTGATTGTTAATCCTAACAACTCATATATGTGGTGCATTCTACTAAATACGATTTTTATTTTAGGTTGTCAAAATCTCCTCACAATCTGTACTGCTGTTAGACCCTCTTGGAAATGAAGGTTGTTATGAAAGGAAAATTATGCGTAACTGGAGGTATTCATCATTCATTAATTATCTGCATTGGGTTGTTTGGTTTGTGTGTTTTTTTTAGAGGAAAATGCTTGCAAAAAACTTGTTTTGTTTTTATTAGGAATTTTCCGAAGATGAAAGGAAAGGAAGAGTTCCGAGTGGATTGGAAAATGGAGAGACTGCCACACAACAAGCAGATGGACTCTATCAGTTGTGGAGTTTTAGTGTTGAATGTATTTAATAAGCAATTGTATTTAATTGTATTTAACTAGAATTAAGTTAATTGCAATTACTGTAACATATTTTACAGTTTGCCAAACACTACCTTATGAGTGGAGAGGTTACTAGGGTGCTGTCTGCTCCAGAAGCCATTGGGCTGCAACGCACAGAAATTGCTTGCGAACTGCTAGAACATCAAAGTAAGTTGAGTCATGTGCTTTTGTATTTCAATAGCACTTTCAGTTTTGTTTAAACAGTTTCGTTATTAAAATAATGTTTCTTAAGACGTAAGTTTGTGTTTATAATGGTATTTGTAAAATAAAACACTATATTTTATTCATAATGTTGAACTCCTCTTTGAGCACATCCTTTGAAGAATCATAGGTATTAGCAACACGTGTGAAATTGTATTTGCAGGAAAGAAGTGTGTCCCGTTTATTGAAGTATTTGGTGTTTAGAGTTTTTGACATCTTGTCCATGCGTAGTTCAGTTACGCTCAAAGCTGCTAGCCAAAATGGCCTGTATTTGACTCTGAAGTTAAAAGTTTTCTGGCTTTACTAAAATACCTGTCTGTACTTATTTGATTGATGGTAGTTTTACTTTCTATTAGACTCCAAATGTAATCATTTGGCACGTTTCTAATTCATAATTTGTAATAATGTAATTGGCGATATTAGCATTAGCATTCCTATGGGTTTTTCCATGTATATTAGCATTGCGCTAACCACTCGCTGCCTTTGCGATTAGAAAATCTCCTTTTGTCACATCGCAATTAAATTGCACATGCAGTTAATCGTTCAGCCCTAATATACATGCAGCTCTATGCTAAAAGTGTATTTTCAAAGAGGTAATGATGGATTTCTTTGTAAAAGTTGTCCATCTTTCCAATAGAAAGATTTGCCTGGACCAACGTAACGTGATAACAACGTAACGTGATTACGTAATTCCGTAAGGTTCATGTTAAGCCAATCAACTACTTAGACATCATCGGCAGTCGACGGACCCCGAGCCAATTTTGCACCCGAGCAGATCTTGTACCGACACCGTGTCCAAGACTTTTAAAATGGGGTGGCCCATGTGGGGCACTTGTTTATTCATGGGTGGCTCCAATGGTTATGCTTATTTATTTATTTACTTAAATCGTTTATTTATTTATTTACTTTCTAGTGAATTTTTGAGTTTCACATTGCACAATCACCATTTTTTTTTTCCCTCTTCATCTTCTACTTTTGTGGTGGTTAGCAAGTCACTTCTTGTGTCATTACTGCCACCAACTGGAGTTGAGTGGGACTCAAAATATTTTGTATGTGAATATGAAAAAATATTAAATAATATTAATACTACATACCTGGGCTAGAAAACAAGGTGAAAGGTGCATGCAACCACACACTATTTTGGAGTTTACAACCCAAGCCTTTTGTCGACAATGTAAAGTCTATTTAAACTGGAACTTAGTGGGGTGGCACCTGGGGTGGCCAATCAGATTCCAAGGGTGGCATGTGCTACCCCAGGCCACTCCCTGGACACGCCCCTGGCTTCGTCACATACCTTTTCTGTGGCGATGTCAGTGTCGCTCTCCGTGTTGCTGTCATCATACCGGGGTGAAGCTGGGAAAACAAGCAGCACCGTTTTGAGATGAACAAAATCCTCCTGGGCACTTTCCGTAGCACTCCTTTAACCCTTCATTAGACTTTCCAGCATCCATCCTTTCTGGTTAAAGCTGCACCTCATTATAAAGCCACACCTCATTATAAAGCCGCATGGTTCAAAGCGTGGGGAAAAAGTAGCAGCTTATAGTCCGGAAAATACGGTAATTAGAATAAGCTAGACCAGTGGTTCCCAAACTTATTTAGCCGCGCACCCCCTTCTATGTCCCGACCATGTCGACGCACCCCCCAGCCCCCACATCAGGGCATGGCTATATATATATACATATATATATGTATATATATATGTATATATATATACATATATATATATATATATATATATATATATATATATATATATATATATATATATATATATAATATCAGATGTCAACCTAAACAGACAGGGTTAAAAAAAATATGATCGACCTTTTTCCCCATCACTTTCATTTTTTTAAATAGCAATTAATAAACATTTGATACCATTACAATTTCCTTTGATTTAATTTTAAATAAATATTTAGAGTGCCCAGGTAGCACATAAAGAATGCAATTTAACGGTTTTCTTAAAGTAGGAACGTTTAACCTGTGCGACCAGAGCTCTCTCCTTCCTTCTGCTCTGCGTAAACCTGAGCTGATCACCTACTTGTGCGTAAATAAATGTCTATAGGGGAAAATATGGAAACGATATAGCCATGAGGTTCACTTTTACCTCAGACCGACTTGATGCTGTTTTATGGTGTGGCTGAATCTGCGGTCCGCTGCCACGCGGACTGTAATAACAAATGCTGCAGTAACATGAGTTCAGGTTCGGAGTCACTGGCTGGAGCGGACCCGACTTCAATACGTCATCCCAAAATAGAAGCTAATATCTTAATTTGGCCTTGAATGAGAAATGTTGTTATAAAATCTCAAAAGTTTTTATCACAGTGGAGGCAGCGCTCATTTTTGCCTTCAGTCTGGCGGCGCGCCGGAGTTTGCGCCGTATTTGTTCCTTTTTTCTCTGTCTGGATAAATTAAACTTGTAAGCGCTCCGTGCGCGCTTATTTAATCTCTCTCTCTCTCTCTCTCTCTCTGTGTGTGTGTGTGTGTGCGTGCGTGCGTGTGCGCGCGCGGCACAGCTCCATGAAGCAGTGGCGGATCTAGGATTTTTCTGAGGGTGGGGCCATCAAGGGGCCACAATATTTATAGAGGGGCCACGTACAGTCCAACATACTTGCATACTATTCCCAGTTTTGTATGGTAGATACAGTTTACCCCAACACCATGTTGAAAAACATCAATGCAATTGTACATCAATTTTTACTGTACATTGACAAAATACAACCACACACAGCATTTGAGAAATTTTAGCATTCAATTTATTTTGCAAAGCCACAAATATCAGGTTAAAATATGTTTGTGTTTGGAAAAAACACCAGAAGAATATCACAGGACCCTCTGCTCTTGACTGGGAAATGTCTGGTGGGAAGTCAATTAAATAAGTCTGAGTCAGTTGCTTATATCTCTCAACCTGTAACATTCATGGCATTCAGAATCTGCAAGTGACTGACTGCAAAATTCAATTAAATTTAAAGAGCCTTTACAAAATGAGAAGCACACCACCAGGTCCTACTGGAACAGAACACCGTTCTGATGTCTGCGCAGGATTCTGTGCATCACACTGGAAGATGTCTGAAAACAGCAAATGAGAAATTATCTAACATAAGCCAAATACATACACAAGCATTTATTACTTTCAAAGATCAATGTTTACCATTTGATCCTGCAGGATTAGCATTGATTGGTGACTCTGGTGGCCCAGCAGGATGGAAGGTTGAGTCATTAACTTCACTCTGGTTGTCTGAATTGGAGAGAGTCTTGTCCCAGTTTGCAGCTAAAATACAAATATATGTCAAACTCCAGCTAAATCCAGCCAAAACTTTGTTTTCTATGAGACCACATTTTTATTTATTTGAAATTGAAGACTTGAAAGATTGGACTATAAAGATGAGTTGTGGTAGATGTAGACAAAGAAACCAATACAATTTAAATCCATTATGTTAATGTTATAGTAAACCACATCACCATGAAGCAGA